CGTTATACTCTACCATAAAACACATTCGTGCTACAACGAATTTAACGATGCCATATAAGAGTTATGTTTTATTTTAATTAAACGCAACCCTCACATACATGTAATGTACGTTAGTGGTGCATTGAAATTAAAAAGTTTACTGCAGCATAAAACCATAGGTATATCTTCCTTTCAAACATTAAGTTCCCGCTTTGTTAAGTTACCTTTAAGATCGCTACGTTCCAAAAAATACAACTGATAGCACGTCTTTAGCTAATTGAATCAAAGTAACAAACACATCGTAAAACCAGTCTTTCAAGTAAAAAAAAAATGTCTTTACGACGATATAAGACGCATTTGTACAATACCAGTACATATTAGTAAATAATTTCCTTGAGCATCTCTTTTTACTTGTACCCTCTATGAATATAAATTTTGTAATTAACTATAACTATTAAATATATGTAATTAACGAATTATACGAGAGAGACCTGATTTTGTCGTGGGATGTTGATAACCTCAATTTGATCCACATAACCGTTATCAATAAATATTTATTTTTTTACGAGGATATTTCAAGTTCGAGGTTATAAGTACCCTTGAGGTGCCGGTGTTTTTAAAAACAAAAGCTCATTTGTAAGTATGTCGGGTTCGAATGCAGGGCCGCCGGAATCGAACCAGGTATTGCATTGATGAGCGCCGTGTCAACGTCTAAACCGACGCCCCACATTATAAAATAATATGTTATTATTTTCACAAATAATATAAATTATTTCATCCTCAGTATTCAATGAAATAATTCTGATTTTAACTAAAATCGCGTCTTGCCAATTGAAAACTTAGATGAAATCTTTTCGCAAGTAGCATAAAGAAGATGACGAATAAAATATCATCCACCTGGGATAAGATATTATCGTTGAAGAAAGGAACGCAATGAGATTTTACCGGCTGGCCAGCTCAGAGATTGCCTTATTGGAAAAATAGTCTCAGAAAAGGAAGGGTTTTAACTGGCATCAATTCGGCGTGAAGGATTGCACCTTATTACATGCTATTGGCTGAAAAAACTTTTTAAAAAGCCATAAAAACGTATCAAATCATAACATATTGTTTAACGTTTCACTGCAGATTTTCGTAAGGTAGATCATAATAAAACTTTTTTGTATATTTTTTAGCGTGGGTATATATATTTATAGAATATTTATTTTGGTCATTTTAACGTTTATATTTCTTTAGTAAATGACATCCTTTTCAAAAATGAATGTGACATAAATCACTTCTACATCATGAACATTGTTTTTTCTCTAAATTGCTATCTTTTCTGTGTGATACTAATCAAAACATCATAGCCAAGTAATTGTGATAATCGTTTCATCGTTCAAATACTGGTGACAACTTTAGCTAAACGCGGGCAAGCTTTAAGCGGGGAACACACCCGATGCTACGCTACCCGATGCTACCCGATGCCTTGTCACGTTTTGGTAGGGTTTCCACATCTATGCGACGTCAAGCGCACGCCACGTACGGTCACACAGCATGTATCACAAATCAGTATCATAATCGCAACGCCTCTTTTGTGCTTAATGCATTATTTTGATCAAAACCATGTAATAAATTATTAGTTAAATTTTATGAGCACAACCATGCAACAAATTGTTTGTTAAACTTAATTGTTTTAAATTAAGTTATTTCAGTGTTTCGATAAATTGTCTGCCTAACCATCAAAATTTAATAATTCTTATAAAAACTCATGAATTTTTGATCTCGTTTCATTTGGTTTACATTAAAATAAGCATGTTGTAATTAATATAATGACAAAGTTAAATATGCGAATAAATATATAGTTCGAAATAAACTACAAAAAAATATGAGTGTCCGGTTCTGATATGAGCAAATCCATGAAATAAGTAGTTAGGTAAATATTATTAGCAAAATCGTGTAATAAATTTTAGTTATATTTTATTAGCAAATCCATGTAATAAATTGTTAGTTAAATTTATTCTATCAATAATTGGAATTCCGTTATTTTGGTCAATTTTTTCCAAATCATTAAAATTAATTTTTTTTAAATAAAAATTAATAGTTATTCAGATATCGTGAGATGCGGTAGGGTGTGATGTAGGTTTCAGAAAAACATTTTCTTTATCGTGCCAACGTTTCGATCTTTTACTGAGATCATCTTCAGGGCCTGGGATTTACATAGTTATCTGAATAACTATCGATTAACGGTCACTAATCTCGACACATAAAATTAATGAATTTTTGATCTCGTTTAATTTGGTTTATATTAAAATAAGTTGTTGTAATTAATATAATGACAATAATGCATACAGTTTGAAATAAAAATATGAGTGTCCGTTCTTTTGTCTTCGACTATACTCGATGCTACTCGACGAAAACCTGGACAGTGGGATCGTCAGAGTAGGGTAGCGTTCCGTGACTTCGGGCAGATGTGCTCGGGGGTAGTACAATCTTATGGAAATTTGGACTTTGGATTTGCGTCGGGTAGCGTTGCGTGAAGTGTGTTCCCCGCTTTATCGTGCATTAACATGAAATTGTCCCCAATAAATAGAGCAAAAGCTACAGCTTCCAAAAGAACTTCCACTATACTGAGGTATTATTCAACAATAATAATGGTGTACATTTAATGTCGTCTCCAGTTAACTGAAGTTTTTACTAATCGTTTTTTACAATGTGTGGTATTTAGTGATAGTTGAATAACGATTATTTAGAGATCGTGAGATACTGTCTGGTGTGATGTAGGTTTAGTTCAAACCATCTACACTAGGTTAGCATAAATTCTCCCGTAATAAAGGCATTTTTACCTCTTCATCAGAGATATAGAAGTTAGTTATATCAACAATATCCTAGAATTACGAATGGAATTTATTCAGAAGGTGACAGGAATTGAACCTGAATCGCTGTGCTTTGCCAGCAGATCAGAGGACACAACAGAAGTAAATCAATTTTGAATATTCTGAAAGTACCAAGGAACAGACCAATTGGAAAGGAAAGACCTGTTACTACTTCCAGCTTTCAAGTCATACCTACCTTTCATGAGGACATGAGAAATCATGTTATCCTTCTAGCAAATTCAGGATTTATGCTAGGGTAAATTTGTCATACTGGTTTTGGTTACTTACCCAAAACACGAGCAATCAAACGTACAATTAGTTGGAAAATACACCTCGGCCCTTTAAAATGAAATGCCATCAACGCTTGCGTCTAAAATATTTTAAAAGATGTTACACTGACAGGAAAATCCTGATAAAATTGGATGGCCAAGTAGCTATTAAAGTATTAGCATGTAAGAAAAAACGTTAAAATTAGTCAGCGAATGCATCTAAAATCTCAAAATCTGAGAAATACAACCTTATTATATCTTGTGTACCAAGATACAAAAACATTTGGGTAATGAAAAGGCAGTCACATTGGCTAGAGAAGGATCTGCAAGATATTGGGTCGACAAAAACAAAACAAAAATTCTCAAAAATAGAATAAACAAATAGACAGGATAAAAGGAAAAGTTGATAAACCTTAGAGATATGATAAGCTTGCGTTAAACAGCTTTCACCAAGACTGGCAAACACAGTTAGAGAGGGCTAAACTCAGAGGAGTGATATGACTATTTACCAGACACTGGCATCTGTGAAAAGTTCTACACAACATGGGCATATTCAATGATGACGCCATTTGAAGATTATGCAATGAGGAAGAAGAAACAGCCAATAACACTTCGAATTCGAAAAAACCGCTCAATCGAGAAACAACTTGGTATACAATGAAAACCCAGGTACAGGAACCGTAGACCAAGAAAGCAAGCCTGTAGGCTGCTTGGGGAACAAAAACGACTTCCTAGAATCCATATTCATCATTATCATCACCTTAGAGATAAATATTGTTTTACGTATGCATGTATATTTTTTATGAACATTTCCTTACGTCCAATAGAATCCCGCAGTCGAAACTGGGTTGAGAGCAAATCAAACATTTGAACAGCGTGGATCTGTGGTTTCAATTTCCACGTCGGCACTCCTCTAGCCCACAGCTATCGCAGGCCCATCCAGATTGTTTGCTATAACTTTTCCCGATTGAAAACCCGATCTCTTTTCGGCGTAGATAGATTGTGTCTACTCCTGAATCCTTCCCAAATCGAATAACAATGTATCAAATTGATATAGGGTGAACCGCATACGGTAGTTATTTTTTTACAGGCGTGATCGTAAATTACGACCCTGTTTGTATGTTATATGTATGTTTAACGATGGTAGATTGAAATCCGCAAGTCTCTACATATGAATTATACCGAATTAAAAAAATCTACATATTGTTTAATCTCTTTCAATTAATTAATCTTAATGTAAGGGTGAAATGAAAAAGTTAGTGACCGAGCGGGATTCGAACCCACGACCTTCGGCACCTACAGCAGTCATGATTGTTCAAGTGGTAGAGCAGCGGCGTATTTAACCGAAGTCGTGGGTTCGAATCACGCTCCACGTTGTACTAACTTTTTCATTTCAACCAATACCTTACATAAAGATTAATTAATTAAAAGAAGTTATTTCGTCAACCGGATCACGAAATATAATGGATATTGTTTAATGTAGAGAAAACCTATTAAAACTATTTATTATAACTGAAAAATGTAAATAAAGACCAAATATGAAAAGATAAATAGTATTGCATAAATATACTGGGCTTTTGTGTTACGAAACATATTTCTACATTTTCTCGTCAACTCGATAAATAAAGCAATCTGACTGTAAATAATTTCTCTCGGGAATAACCCTCCCCCCATGAAAAGTGTAATTGTAAAGGTGAAAATTGAAAACTGTGTTTTTATCAGGTTTTCGGCTTGTAATAAGGCAGAAGTTTTGTTTCGTGAATAAAGAAGTTAACGGGCGTCTTGTTGATACAAACCGCTTTTTCATCAAAAACAACTTTTATTTCCATTAATCACACAATTAACACCAACCAATGTTTACCTGTTTTCAATTTATTAATCTAAATATATTAATTTTAAGGTGAAGGAAGCGTCGGTGTGCCGATTCCAGGCCAGGCCCAGAACAAGCTGAACCTCGAGATACACATGGAATGCGATTTAGAAAAGAGTTCATGCAAACCGCATGCCCTCTGCCCTCTCTCACTCATCGGGCCCGTCCGAGATGTCATCGTCAGACCGAGAAGCAAATATTACAAACCTGGAGAGACAAGTAAGTGGACAATTTTGGCTACTTGACCTCTTTCTAGGGGTCCAAAAACTTCCATACCAAAAATAACCACTGCCAAAATCATAAAACTCTTTTAACCGATGATAATACTTCTCCTGATCTTTTAAATAATTTATTTTTCTTGTTTTTATCGAAAGGGCGTAACTTCGCATAAAATACAGGTTTATTTATCCCCCTAATCAAAAAAATATATATGTTCGAAGATTATCCAACGCAAAACGAAATTAGAACTTAACGGTCAATGTTTCTTAATGCTTACTCTCTAGGCTACTTAATTTGCAAGCACTTCGGCTCCTAAGCACGGAAGGTTAATATTATTAAGCTCCAATTATTAGCCCAATAGCCCGGATACCATCGGTAAACAGGTTAAGCAGGGCCTGGATTAAATTGCAACAAGATACCAATTTGCACGATATTGATGTTCCCAGGGTATCATATTCCGTCTCTTTAAGCTCTAAAAAAAAATAATTTTGTGAAATTGTGTTTTGACGACTCGACATAATTTTCCAGATTGTTGAAAACTAAACCCATACATAAATAATATCTGCTCCAGGTGTATTTCTTACAAGTTATCAAAACTCTACAATAGCTTAAAATTATATCTTAAGGTAGCCATACACGTACAGGTAATCCTCAAGGACATAGCCTTTGGGATTTCCTTGGGGATATTCTCTACCGAACCCGCGCTCACACACGGAACGGATTTTCCTCAAGGGCGACTGTCGACGCGCAGCAATAGACATGCAAAAATCACCATGCGTGTAGATTACTGCCACACACGTAGAAATTCCTCAAGGCTTGGACCGTTCAGGTCAAACCTTGAGAAAATCCCGCTCTTGTATGGTTATTTTCAATAATAATAAATACAAAATCAGAGAAGAAACAATTTGATAGAAGTTAAGATGTATACATTAAAAAACGAAATCTGAAAGAAAGTAAAGTAATGATAAAACGATTAAATTTACCATCCAATGCACAATATTTACAATCTACAACAGACGAAATTCGTCTGCTATGAGTCGGTTTAGTTTAATTCAGCATTTATTGAAAAATGTACAGAAATTGGTTCGCCAAAGTTTCTCCAAAATAGTCAAAAATTCGAGAACAACTCAGATTCAAAATGATAGTGTTCCTAAACAGCGTCATTTAAATTTTGTAATTATTTAACTATTTACCCTAAATTTGTATCATTTAACTTGTTCGTGTCAATCTGGAAGTATTACATTTTCTATCTAGTTTTAAAAGCTTATTATTAATTAATAGCTTGTGTGTATAGTTTCAAGGGATTATTGTTATTTTCTCCTTTGTAAGATTACTGGGTATATCCCGTCTGTTTCTGGAGATTTGAGTTGGCTGAAGTTGCCCATGGCTCAATCAATTTTGCATTCTTCATTACTGTTTTGGCTATTTGACTTTGTGGCCTTCGACAAGTTCAGTATTGTTTCTTACTAAATTCGCTAGTTTCGTGGTCCGCTTGACCAATTAATATCTTTCAATTAATTAAGGTTTTTAGTTGAGACAAAAAAGTCGTGTCACGAGCGGGATTCGAACCCACGATCTTCGGCTAGATACGCCGCTGCTCCATTTGAAAAATGACAAAAAGAGGGAAAATTCAAAAGGTGGGGTTGAGATGGGAAGTTAGTAGAAATGATAAATGATGGAGTGAGTGTGGTGTTCAATACTTATTAAAAGGATAGTTCCTACTCACAGTAAGTTGTTTTGTAACGTCCGGATTTCGAGCCTTTTAGCTCATCATCAGGTTGAAGGACTTCTACAACCACGTCTCTCGACATGAATTGCAAAAGTGAAACCGCTGATACTCCCGCCAACGCGACGTTCCAATTAGCAGCTGATTTTTTTAATGACGCTCAATTTGAACGTGCGAAACGCGGAAATTATAACACAAATAAATATTAGAATAATAAATACTTAATATTACTATAAATTACTATAAAAATACTAACAATTAAAATAATTAGGTTAATCATTTGGATGTTTGATATTATTTATGTACATATTTAAAATGGGAGGTAGATCAAAATCTGTTTTATTATTAATGCATTTATCACCATGTTCAATTTTACATTTTTTAATTTCAAATTTCTCAAACCAATCTAGTTCTTTCCCTTTGTTGAAACTATGTAACACTCTTGTATTTAAATTTGAATTGAAATTATGTTTTGTTTCTTTTAGATGGTCCTTAAATTCCGAAAATTTGCTCGATTTAGGCAAGTGTTCTTTTACTCTTGTTTTTATTTCTCTACCGCTTTGTCCTATATATTTAATATCACAATCATTACAATTGAGTTGGTAAACCCCGCTTTTTGCCAAGTTGTCTACTTTGTCTTTAGGTTTTGAGAGGATGTTTTTAAGTGAACCCGTACTTCTAAAAGCTATTCTAAAACCTTCTTGTTTAAAAATTTTACTAACTTTTTCCGATAATTCACCAATGTATGGCAAACAACGGAAACCTAATGATTCATTTGTGGTGGGGTGGCTGAGTCCTATTGTTGATTCGTTTAAAGTTAATTTTTTTATTCTTTTAACTAGCAACCTATCAATAAATATTTCTTGATACCCGTTGTTTTTTGCTAAGGTTTTAATAGTTTTTAATTCTTTTTTATAGTTATCAGGTTTTAGAAGAAGTTTTAACATCCGGTCTATGAACCAAATGAAACCAGCAGCCTTTTGGGACCATGGGTGGGAAGAATCCGCTGGTATCATAGTGTCTGTAGTTGTGGGTTTTCTATATACATCTATTTCAACTAGCTTGTTTATTATGGACAGTTTTAGGTCTAAAAAGTTCAAACAACCATCTTTGCCAATTTCCAATGTAAAATTTATATTACGGTGTAGAGAATTAATTAATTGTAGGAATTCTTTGAGAGCTTCTAATGTTCCCGACCATATGCATAAAATATCGTCTACATAGCGTTTCCAGAAATGAACATATTTAATTAATTTGTTCTTTGATTTGAAAAGATCTTTTCAACCCTTGCACTGGGGGATTTGTGTGGTTTTGGTATTGGAGTATTAAAGATAGTTTCCACTGGATAGGGAAATAGGTTGTGCGAAATATTGCATTGTAAATAGGTGTAATGTACACTATTGCTTTTTTGGGTAGATTTTGGAGGATTTTAGGAGTGATTAGATCATGGCCTGGAGATTTTCTTTCGGAAAGACAGAGAATCTGATACATGACATCTGCTGGGTGGATGGGCTTAGGAGGTAGAGCGAGAGGGAGAGGAGAGTGAAGGAATTCATTGATATGATTTGATTGTGAAGTGGCATTCATATCGGGATGGGGAATAAAAACTGTGGAAAAGTGATCGGAAAGTAGCTGACACTTTTCTGCGTTTGTCCTGACCCAGGTACCGTTTGGATTTCTAATTGGAGAAGGCACTTGGTAGTGTTTGGCAACCTTCCTAGTAGCTAGCCAAAGGGAGTTGTCTTATATGGATAAGGATTCACGGTATGACTGGAACTGCGATGAATGGTATTTGGATAATTCGAGTTTGAAACATAAGTGAGACGGATAAATGTTACTTTATCAGAGGGGTAACGATGGCGTTGCCATCACAACCTTGCTCTTCCTTTGGAGGTTATAAGTGTACGGATCTATTCGGGAAGATGGGAATTCGGAGCTGACTTTTGATGGCTTGGAGGGGAGGACGATAGATGAGCGGCGTGTTGGATTTTACTTGTGAGAATACTGACAGCTTGTTCTATTTGGTTACCAGTTTTAAGCGGAATGTTTAGGTTTAAGGTATTATGAGGATATGTTGAAATAGTTTCCAGTTTACTGGGTTGTTGGTTAAAGAAGGTCTGGAAGTCGAGAGTGAGGAGCACAGGAGAGTGGTCTGAGGACAGGTCGTTTAAAGATTGGATGGAGGGAAAGAAGGAACCTATACCAGTTGTCACGAAAAAATCCAACAAGTCGGGACTGCGGTTGATCAGTGGGCTAGTAGGTTGGTTGATCCGGAAATAGGTAAATGTAATTGCGAGGGGCGAGAACGGTGTGTATGAGTCGGCCTCGTGAATTTGTGGTTCTGCTACCCCATGCCGGATGTTTGGCGTTAAAGTCGCCCGCGGCGATAAAACGAGAACCTAATTGTCGAAAAATAGAATCAAATTGGGGATAATATATGGGGATTGAGGGAGTACAGTACACTGCTGACAAAATGATCGAGAACTGAGGAAGAGAAATAGAAATTGAGGTATGTTGCTAGGAGTCGGTGCTTTCAAAAAGATGAAGGTGATTGGAAATAGTGTTTCTGACTACGATTGCCGTGCCACCTTGGGCTCTTTGTCCTGTGTGAGAAGTTTTGTTTTTCTGTCAGGTGTGTTTCTGTTAGAAGTAATACGTCAATATTTCTATCGTTTATTAATGTTTCTAGTTCAAGTTTGTGTTTTACTAATCCATTTGAATTCCAGAGTAGAACTGTGAGGGTCGTTGGAGGGATCATCGGGAAAGTTTAGGAAGTAATTCGGATACAAGGGTTGTAAGATATGAGTGGGGTAATTAAGGATTTAAAATCGTTTAAGGAAGTGAGGTGGGTCGTGATGTTGTCAGTGGATATTGGGATGGGAGAGGGGGTAGGAACGGTTGGTTTGACAGATCTACCTGCCACTTTGGCGTAGCTGAGCTGCTGATTGATTGCCCAATGTGGTTCGCTGATAACTGGTGGTCTTCCTGTCGAGGAGTGTAGTTGAGTTCTGGTGGTACCCGCTGTTAGTGCATGGTTTGGTTCGGTTGTCCTTTTCCTGGATGCTGCTGGCGGTGTCCTGGTTGGTGGAGCAGGAACAGCTGAGTGATCTTTGTTGTTCTGCCTATGCAATTGTATATACTGCAATTCTTTATGGGTGGCACATCCTCAGTAGTTAGCGGGGTGTGCACCGCCACATAAAGCGCAAGTGGCGGGTAAGGTTGGTGGTTTGACGCAGTCGGAAGAAAGGTGAGGTCCTGCACACTTGACGCATTT